TTGTTACTAGAAGCGATGCACTTGTTCCTAATGTCAAAATATCATGGGCGTGATCGACAGTGCTTTGCTGCCCAAGCGTCCCATCCTGTGGCCGAGCGACCCGGCGATGGCAGGGAGGCCAAGCTTGATCACAGCCCCCTGCTTATGGTCTGGGAAACATGGAAAACCGTGACTTGATGGACTCGGAGTTCGAGTGATGTTCATCGAGTCACTGACATTCCAAAGGTCTCTCATGCCCACTAGACGCTCTACATTGACCTGTGCTTCTATGCAAGGGTTTGTTTTAGTCACCTTCCTAGTCTCAAGAACTTGGGATTTTTCCAAAGCTGTTTGTGTTCATGTATAGAATTATAGAATAGAACGAATGCAAGAAGCCCGACCTCCTTGCTGCTTTCGACTAGGTTGCGCAAATTTTATTGCATGTCGTCCTGGCTCAAGTAGCTGTGAAGCAAAGTCTTTTTCACAGCATTTGCCCTTTTCGCTCTCTTTGCTGCCCACGTCAGTTCCATGGAAGCAAAGTCAGGTGGTTTTGATGTTGACTCGCCACTGCTCATGCTTACTCTATTTTGAACACATTGGGGCATGCTTGGCAACACTGCTTGGAAATAGTGAGTGCGTTGTAATTACATGTTATTACTACTAATATGAGTTTTGATATTATGTACAGTATTGCGGCCCCCTCAAGCGTTCACGTTTTGTTTACAAATGTCATCAACTACCCTTTTGTTTGGGTGTTATCATTTGGGTGAATCCAAGACCTACAGTCTGTAAGAGGGTTTCAAGGCTTGTCGGAAATTACTTTTGCGGAAATTCGGAAATTCTTTTAGCGGAAATTCGGAAATTAACAATTTCTGAGTTTCTGAAGAACTTTACTTTTTTAGATCATGTGTGGTCTTGCATCCAGAGACAAGCTGATTGAGAAAGGACCTGTGAATGCCAAGCTGCCAAGGCAAGCAAATGTCGACGCTCGAGCTGGGCCGTGTACACATGACTGTGAAGGTGAAAGATGACATGGTTGAGTACAAACCCAAGGAGAGGAGGTGTGAAAGGGCCAACTGTCATGCGATTTGCCCTGGCCTGTAGCGAGGAGTACGAGAAAGAATGTGTACAGATGATGGTGGAACCATAAGTGTGGGTAAGAAGAAGCAATGGATTTGACTTGAAAAGAGTACCCCCCAACGACCCTGGTGTTCATCTTGATCCTTCATTCGTATCTCCTTCACGCTCACTGGTCTTTTCGCAGGAAGGGGTGATGTCTGCCACCTACCCGGTCTTTGAGTTTGACAAAGATGAATGGAATCGCATCTCAAAATGCAAGCAACCCACTGTCCTGCTGCCTACGTAAATCCTTCCTACAGAATAACTTAGTCCGTCGTCCGGGCGGGCGTTTTCCGCGCGGCACAAACCAATTTCAAAAACATTCAACTTCTCGGCACAAAAGCTTGCGTCATGAAGATCTTTTAACTGAATGCCCTTTGATCAATGACTTTGCTGGTTACCCTGTGTGAACCAGAGACTCCATATCAACAACCCCTCTCTGAAAGACATTATATCTCTGGACCAGAGCCTCCGTGTTATATAACAAATCGCGTGTGAACAAGATTGTTTGGCTGTGGGTGAGACCTCACCTACAAACCATATTTCATCGGTGTAATATGTTCAATCGCGCCAGTGTGCGCAAGAATCCAGCTTTGAATAAGATTGCAGACCCTTATGTACCCGGACTAAATGGGTACGTTGCTGCCGTTTGATTATCTAGTAAGCTTATGTACAGCAAGTTTGGGACAGAGATACACTATGGCGTATCCTAGTGTCATGCATGAAGTGCGTGCATACATCTTGTCCTGTGCAGATATTGCAGTGTCGAAGTGCTGACATGCTAAGGTAGGGATTCCGTTTGCGTTCTTGGTGTTTGGATTCGTCGCTCCCTTTGTTGCATTTCTGGTGGTTGAATATCCTTTTGTGTACAAACCCCCTCCTATTCCCGGTCTCAGACCAATGGGCAGTAAGGGATGTGACAGTGTCCGCAAGCACGGTACCCGCACAAACCATGGTGGGTAATTCGTTCCTTTTCTATCAGTTCAACCGGATTTTGACCCACACCATCCATCTCAATAAGACGCCTTGTTCGATTTGTTTTTGAAATTTCCCCACCTGTCAGTGTCAGGTGATGGTTGGCAGATTCTAGATGATTTTAGAAGAGGATCCCGCCTCCTCTCCTTCTCCTTTGTCTCCTCGGCTCAACTGCCAGCACCAGATTGCAGGGGCACTCCCGGACCTCAACAGCAAGCGCCAGATCACAGTGGGCACTCCTGGGTGGGGGTCACTCGAAGTAGAGTATTTTTCTGCTTGAGTCCACCACATGGGACGAAACGTTCTTTCATGAGGCTTCTATTCTTTCTGGGGCGCCATGGCTCTGGCAAGAGCACCGTACTTATTTCTTGTGAACTTACTCGGCCTTCACCCTTCTTGATGAAACGGGAAAGGGCCAACGGCCACATGCCTCAATAGACAAAAGGGCGGCTTGTGCCAGAAGAAGTGTTCAGTCACCCACCTGTCAGCTACATGAGTGTAAGCACTTGCGCACTCCAATGTCCAATTATTTCCAAGAAAGATCAAGAAAGCCCCTTCTCAGGTATGGTTGGCACAGCAGAAGATGGCATGGTGATTGAGTATGAGGAAATTAGCAGTTCAACAACCACCACCAAGGGTGGCGAAGGAGCTGTTCCCGAGGGCGGCTTCAAGCATCCTCATACGAAGCACCATGGCGAAAGTCAAAAGAAGAGTGAACCCATGACCGGAACGACCCGTTAACGTGGTGTAAAACTCCAATTCACAATGTTTGCAAAGTGTTTGCCGCGTGCTTTGCTGTTATATAGAGGCTGTGTTGTTAAATCCATTTGTATATATATATATTATATATATAAACGTGGTTGTGAAGTGGATTGGCACGGTGAGTTCACTGCTCATTTTGCCAAGAGATCCAAAGGTTGCTTTGTCAAAATACCAAGTTTCAGGCTCACGACTACAACTGTTGCAATTACAGGGAACATAGTGGATGATACTGCGATCATATACATTAATCTCACGTATTGCATGATGCGTCCGAGGTGCAAAATCAAAAGTGTCACGGCACCACTAAAGCCTGAGAAAGGCGTCAAAGGCTAGGCCTGGGCGGCCGGCCGGGCCTTTGAGCCTTCAACCCAAAGACATGCCAAGTGAAGTATGTCACTTGGGCAGTTTCAAGATAAATCTCGCTGTGTCCTTTTCTTCAGGACAGTCAGTTCCTTTCATTTTAGACCGGTGAAACACGTGGAACAATGTTGCAGAATTGTCGAATAATAGTTCAGGATGCGAGTATTTATTGGTTTGCACGATTGACGAAAAGTCACTGAGTCCTTCATGAAGCTGTACAATCGTGTATGCCAACATGCTTTCTGACTCTGCTGACACCTAAAAAGACCGTGCGAAGATGCACATGCTGCTCATTGCTGCCCCTTTCCAGAGGAGACAGCCTGGGACAATGCGGAGACGCGACCACAGTGGATCCCAAAATCCACATATATGTCAAAAGCAGAATCCCATGTCGATGGATGTTGCCACTAAATTACTCATACACGACTTTCACTACTTTGACTTTGCCTGAAGCCAAAAGCTGTTCAGCGTTTCTTGGATCATGGTAGCCAAATGCTGCAGCAGTGAGGTCATTTTACGACGTGCATTTTTGCTGCCTCTTTTGGCACTGTGCCTGGCTTAGAGAAATTGTGCTGCGTTGCAATAGTGCTTGGATGCTCTAATTTTTCCGAGATGTTTAGATGTGCTCTTGAAGTTGACTGGAAAGGACAATCAATGTCACTCATACAACACTACGGATTCCTAGGGGACCAACCATGCATCACTGATCAAAGTACATCCCTCATAGTCTCTTGATCTCTCAAGTGTCCCTTGCTGCTGAGGGTTTACTGCCTTGGGCAAGGCGCCAGCCTTGGGTGAGACATGCTGTCAATTGGTGTGAAATGTCCACCCGAGTTGAAAAAGCAGATGTAGAGAGTCTATCTTGAATCAGCACAGTTCTTAGCTTAAAGGATGCTGTTGCGCTGAGGTTTTAGTCTATTTCAATTTATTCAGTAGTTGAGGGAAGTCCTGAGGTCCTTCAAGAGAGTAACAAGGTGCCGCCCTCTCCAATAATGATCCCAGTACACAGTGGCTCGGCTTTCAGGTGCGTTCTTGGCGCCAGAAGCTTCTGCTGCAAGACATCAACCCTTAAAGCTTGTGAGTGTGCGAGTGTTTTTAAATGTGTTTTTTTTTTGTGTAGTGTGCGTGTGTGTTTGTTTTTTTGTTTTTTGTAGGTGTGTGACTGTGTGTGTGTGTGTCACTCACGGCCAAATGGAGGGCGAGTGCCAAAGGAGCGATTTCATTGTTTGGAGTATTGATGAGTATATATTGGTTTGCGCTGTATTACAGGTAAATTGTCATATCTTTAAATAGCAGCTCTCTTTTTTTGAATCTTTAAACTTTACACAACCACCATTCTATTCAGGACTGCCAGTCGCAGCGGATCATTAAATCCCAGTCAACACGGCAACAGACGCTTGTGCGTAGTGCGAGAAGCACCAGGCAAGGTACGCATCGCGATACTCTTTGAAGAACCTTACTCTGGCTTTTTGCTCCACGGGCAAGGCCTGATCAGTACGGCCGCACTGCCCTGAAGGCCCGCAGCTGAATGAAGTCGGTAGAGAAAGTGTTGGGAACGAGTTTCCTCAGGAGATTGAGTATTGTCAACTTCCTGAACTCTTCTTTAAGTTATATTGTTTTATGATGTTTAGGCATTCAGGTTCACCGGGCAAATGAGCAGGTTCACCATGTACCACAGGGGGGCTTTGTTCCTTGAGGAGGCATGTTGATTGATCCAGAGGAAACATGACTCGCATGCCTTGTTTGGGTTCATTTCGGCTCTGATGGAAAGCTTGTAGCGTTCAGCTAAAGAGCCACTAGTTCTGATGCATGTCTTTTGGGCCGCGTCCGGCCGCGCGGTGGCCAGTCTTGATGCGGAGCAGGTGGATGGCAAGTCGGTCAAGTCGCTCAAGACACAGTTGGCCCAATCGATCCTTCGCTTTGCCGAGTCCCATCTCCCCACATCGAACCCCACAGGCTCCGAGATCGGATTTCAATCTAACATCCTTTTTGGAAGCACAGCGAGTTGTCATCCACTGGATTTATTGCTGCAGGAAGAGGTGGGTAATGAAGTCCTCCACTTTGGGTTTGTTCTATTACCTGTAATACGTAGAAAACCATTATATTATAATATTATATATATATATGTGAATTTTGGAAGCCAGCAGGACCTTCGAATGAATCACCAAGACACCAGGAGAACCAATGCATATGAATATGCAATGATGGCCACATCGTGGCTCAAGGCTGGACACGAGCGGACTCGGAGGCAGGAGTGGAAAAGGTGCGAGGACGCCCTGGGGACTTTAGGATAGGATAGGTTGGTAGAGGTTAGAAGGTAGGTGCTACCTTTGTGATCTCCTGACGGAGTCACATTGGTAGCGGAGCCGAAAGTGGCCTCCTTAGGGTAGGGGTAAGCCATGGCTAGTTCGAGTGATGAAAAGAATGGTGGGATCTGGAATCTCCTACCATCGTTCGATCCAAGTGTTGACAATGCCCGTGAATATTTGGCGAAGGTCAAGTTCATTGATGGTATCTGTCCGAAGAAGGACCGTCCGATGTTGGCACCACGCTTAGCGATGCAGTGCAAGGGGACAGCTTGGCATCAGGTGAGAAGTCTATCACCTGAATTGCTGACAGATCAAACCAATGGGGTGAAGCATTTCTTAGCTGCTCTTCAAAGTTGGGAAGAAAGTGCAGAGTTGAGAACCTTCGAACTTTTTGAGCGTGCTATTTACAAGACAGTACAAAAAGCAGATGAATCGACGCAAAGCTATGTGAATAGGCTGAGGGTAGCCTTTGATGAAGTTGGACATGATACAACATTGAAGTCGGTTATTGCATTTGTGCTGTTGAAACAAAGCAGTTTATCCAATGAGGACAAGAAGAAAGTTTTGACCATGACAAGTGGGGTCCTGGAAACAACTGCTGTGGAAGGAGCGATGAGGTCTCTATCGACGAGCGTATTGAACACTGCAGGCACTACAGAAAAGAAGAAAATCTATCCAACAAACTATGTGGAGCCCGAGGAGATGGACAACTCCAAGGACTTGGGGACAAGTCAAGCCTTCTTCATGAACCAGGAGGAGGATGAAGAGCTCACACCAGAAATGTTGGAAAGCATGGTGGCGTGGGGAGACGCTGATGCACTTGCAGTTCAAACGTTTGAGAATTAGTTAGAGAGAGAGAGAGAGATTCATCTATGGGAGAGCGAGATGGTTCGGAGAAGCGACACACCTGCGCCATCTCTGACAGCCAGTCCACCAAGGTACCCATGATTGCTAGCTCTCCAAAGAAGCCCAGTCTCGCAGCTCCAGCTGGAGCAAGTGGTGTCCGTTCTCGTCCGGCAACAGCTCCAATGACAAGTGGTCCCATTCTGAGTGGTGACGGAGACCGAATTTCAGGCACCACATGGACGCGATTTGGCCTGGACTCAAGACGCCATCATGTCTTGGGGAAGGAAGGCCGTTACCTGGGGCAAGAAAAATGCTGGCCGCACATACTGCGACACCTACGAATCCGACGATCAGTACGTGGGGTGGTGTTTAAGCCGCTTGAACACCCTCAACATGCCCATACTCGACTTTGCCAAGTACGCCCAAGTGAGGCGTCAAATGGAAGCCCAGCTCCAGGAGGCTCTGTGATCCAGCTAGCCACACAGGTGTCTAATCAGAATGAAGTCCAATGGTTGAGAGCCTTAAGGAAAGAGATTGATCAGAGCTTTGCAGCACCCCGAATTGATTTGCTAGAAGTATACGCTCAACCAAATAGCAGATTAGCTGAAGAAGTCATTAAGCAAGGGGGAAAGCTGAAAGATTCACCAAAAAACATGGGGATTTGTCCATTTTCAAGGGTCAAATGGAGCTGCAGTATATGATCGTTCGCTTGCGACCGAAGCACATTTGGGTTGCTCCTGAGCGCGCACCATGGTGTTCGTGGAATAGGTTCAATGCCCAGAGGAGTTTGAACATGTATGCAAATATCCAATGGACGCAAGAGCAATCCAGAGAACATTTGAAGCTGCACACGTTCGTTTGCAAGATTCAGATAGAAGGTGGAAGGCATTTCACCATGGAGAATCCAGGAACATCAGGCATTTGGTCTCAACCAGAAGTACAAGAAATTATGAAACTCACGAGACAAGCAACGTTCGATCAGTCGATCAGTGTCAGTTTGGACTCCGAAACCCAAGCACAAAAGAACCCATGAAGAAAATGACTGAGCTTCAAACCACATCAAGAGAAATTCTCAGACAGACGCTTTTGTGACAAGACACATGATCATCATCAAATTGCAGGTTCATGTAAATTTCAGGGTAAAACCATTGCAGTGTCTCGATTTGCCGCATTCTATCCTCGCATTATGGCTAGAACCGCAGCTATAAGCATCCTTGAAGAAAAGCAAGAGCCTGAATACCCAATCATGAATGCACAGACGGTCACAGAGTTGTTGTGTCCTGTTCGAGAAGCAGAAGATGACCCGACTGATGAACCTGGAGCCAAGAAACGACGAACTCAGGATTCAGAGGAAAATCCTAAGGGTCAGAAGCGAAGTCTAGATGAGTATGAGCCTTTCTCCATTTTGTCCGGACAATCATGGACTGATGTCATGGACAGATTGCAGAGCATTTTGCCGAAATCAGGGGCACAGGTGATCGATTTGACAACTTGGCCGGGAAGATTCCTATGCGATCACTGCCAGATCGAGAAGGTAGCAGAAATCAAGGCCATCAAAGGAGTTGAAAGGTATATGGTCGGCAATCCCGAATGCAATCTTCGACAAACCATCAGTCTTTGCAGAAAAACGAAACGAATTGTAGATCTAGGAGTAGAAGAATGGACGAAGTTGCCTCAGACTCAACAAAGAAGGAAAGCCATTCCCAGCCACATAATGATCAGCATTTTCGGCAGAAAGACTAATGACCTGGATGAATCTCAGCCAAAGTCCGAGTCGATCAAGCCTCCGAATATCTCCGGAACCCTGCCGAGTCAGCCCAGACAAGAAGAGCAAAGCTCTTCATCAATTCGACCTGCAGAAGTGAAGCCACCTGATGAACACTGTCCAAGTGATCCCAGTTTGACAGATGCCAAGTTAGCCCCTATTCCAACCTGGTCTCCTGCAGCAATCATCAATTCAGGTCCCAAGTTCTTGAGTTGAACAGCAAACAACAATGCATGATCCGAAAGATGCATAACAACCTTGGCCATCCAGTTGCAGATAGACTCAGTGATCATTTGCAGCGACTAGGATTCACATCAAGAATGGTTGAGGGAGCCAGAGATTATCATTGTCAATCATGCGCTGAACGAGTGCCTCCTAAACTCACGACGCCTGGGAAACTAAAAGAACCAAGAGAGTTTAATGAAAGGATTGCTTTAGATGGATTTGAATGGAAAGGGGAAAAAGGGATTAAATTCTATGTCCTGCATTTCTTTGATGAAGCAACACATTTTCATCTTGGACGAAGGGGAAACAGAAACAGTGACAACTCCATCCAGAAGTTTGTAGAAACATGGATTCACTGGGCAGGACCACCTAGCGAAGTGCAGCATGATGAAGCAGGTGAGTTCGTCAGCCAAAATTGGAAAGACTTCTTGCAGAAAGAAGGCATTCGTGCAATTGTGAGCGCAGCCCCGTGGCAGAGAGGCAGAATTGAAAGGCATGGAGGTGTGATAAAGGAAATGCTTAGTCGAATTGACCAAGAGAAACCTATCCAAGATGAAAAGCAGTTTGATTTTGCGTTGAATCAATGCTTCCAAGCCAAGAACAGCCTAACTGTAGTAAATGGATACAGCAGGGAGCAAGCCGTGCTAGGTAGATCTCGACGTTTGCCAGCATCAATTTGCGGAGACGAGGATTCACAGCACATTCCATTGATCAACCACAAGACTCCAGGTCAGACAGCTTCCTTCAACAGATGGAAATCCGAACGTTAGCTAGGAAAGCATTGTTAGATGCTGACAATAGCCAAGCCATTCGTAGAGCCATAAACCACCAGTCAAGAGGACAGGAACACCCTTGGAGACGTGGGGAACTTTGTATGGTTTGGGATAAGCGCAAGTCACCAAACATGTTGGAAAAGGGTAGATGGACTGGGCCATGTCAAATAGTCATGGAAGAAAGTCGCACGATCGTGTGGGTCACATACATGAATCGCCTGCTCAGAGTCGCCAAAGAAAATATTCGACCAGTTTCAAGTAGAGAATTCAATCGAGTTGCAACCTTTCATCAATCATGCGATGAACAACGACTGAAAGAAATGGCAGAACAGCTGAAGACACAACTGAAAGAAAGAAGTGGGATGTTCCAATTTTCAGATCTTACAGAAGCTGAAAACCCACGACCAGAAGCTGAACAAGGTCCCCAACCCGAAGAAGAACCGCATCGTCGAGACTCCGAAGCAGGGGAGGAGTTAGGTGCGCCGGAAGTCTCTCAAGAAGAGAACTTGGGTGAAAATCATCCAAATAATACTGACATGCCTGAAGCCGAAGAAGCAGCAGAGTCCGCCGAACCAGGGATGCACATGTCGATGCACATGTTGATGGGGAAAACGGGGAAAACATAGATGAATCAATTGGGGATTCATCTCACACAGTCTTCAATGTTGACATTGTAGAAGCTAATGACACAGATCTGACCACAGTGAGAGAAAATGGAACATTGTGGGCGGAAAGAGAGAATGTAGATAAGCAGCTAGCCCAAGTAGCAAAGAAGAATCATGTAGAGATTCAATATCGCAATCTCAGTCCCACTGAGAAGATTGAATTCGATAAACAGAAAGAACTTGGATGCTGGGTGGAAACCTCATCAATTGAGCCAATCCTTCGTGATCGAATACACCCATCTAGAATCATGTCACCCAGATGGATTTTGACATGGAAAATGGACCCTACAGCACCGCAAGGAAGAAAAGCAAAGGCTAGACTCGTAGTGAGAGGTTTTGAGGACCCTGATGCTGCAACCGTGTGCACTGAATCTCCAACTCTCTCCCGTGATGGGAGGATGGTGGTACTGCAAGAAATAAGCAGTAGGAAATGGAATCTTCAAAGCTTTGATATTCGTACAGCATTTTTGCGAGGAAAATCAGATCACCGAGTCCTGGCAATGCGCCCAGTCCCAGAATTGCAGAAGTTACTTAGCCTTAAACAGGATGAAGTATGCCTTCTAAAAGGAAATGCCTACGGCAGAGTGGATGCTCCAACTCTTTTGCAAGGAATTCAAAAGAACACTAGAAGCAGATGGGTTTGAAGCACATCCATTAGACGCATGCCTGTTTTTGCTTCGTAATCCCAAAGACCCAAGTAAGTTGGAAGGAATCTTAGGAACACATGTAGATGATGGGATTGGTGGCGGGACAGAGATGATTGAAAGAGCTTTGGACCGAATTCAACGACACCTTCCTTTTTGGACAGAGGGAATATAAGAAATTCAGGTTCACAGGCCTCGATATTGAGCAGAATCCTGACTACTCGATACGTGTGAATCAAACTGAGTATGTTCACAAGATTGATATGATAGATGTCCCAAAACCCAGAAGGAAAGAAGACAAGTCTCAGGTGACACCATCCGAAATGCAGCAACTACGTGCACTGTGTGGAAGCCTCCAATATGCAGCTGTGCATTCAAGACCAGACCTAGCAGCTAAAGTTGCTTTTTTGCAGAAACGCATTCCAAAGGCAACAGTAGAAGATCTTCTTGAAGGAAACAAAGTCCTAAGGGAAGCGAAGAATACTGCAGAGACCTCCATTTTAGTTCAACCAATACCCGTAGAAGAAGTGACTTTTGCAAGTTTCGGAGATGCAAGTTTCGCATCAGAGCACCAACTTCGAGCACAACAAGGTTTGTTTGTGATGGCAACCACAGAGAAGCTAAGTAGAAACGAAGTTTCAGAGTTCTCACCAATAGCATGGGGATCAAACAGATTGCAAGAGTGGTAAGATCTACACTCAGTGCCGAGGCCTATGCAATGTCTAGTTCACTAGATAAGCTCACCTGGGTCCGATGTCTCTGGGGATTTTGCAATAATCCCACTTTTGCGTGGCAAAAGCCAGAAAAAGCTTTACAGAATGAAAGAAGAGCTTTGCTAATTACCGACTGCAAATCATTATATGGTTTGATCACCAAGCTGGCAGTTCGCAATTGCCAAGAGTGGAGAACGACAATCGAAGTGATGCAAATTAAGGAACAGGCAGAAGGCAATGCACAACGCCGTTGGATCTCCACAGCTATAATGCTGGCTGATTGCTTTTAAACCCATGGACTCAAGTTTTCTACGAAAGGTTTTAGCAATTGGACGCTTTCGCATCTTCGATGAGTTGAGCACTCTCAAAACGAACGCAAATCGTAAATTCGGAGAACGATGGGCCGAAGATTTCAGAAACCAAGCTACCGATTCATTACGAAAATAAAAATAGAGTCTGTGTGAATTTTGGAAGCCAGCAGGACCTTCGAATGAATCACCAAGACACCAGGAGAACCAACGCATATAAATACGCAATGATGGCCACATCGTGGCTCAAGGCTGGACACGAGCGGACTCGGAGGCAGGAGTGGAAAAGGTGCGAGGACGCCCTGGGGACTTTAGGATAGGATAGGTTGGTAGAGGTTAGAAGGTAGGTGCTACTTTTGTGATCTCCTGACGGAGTCACATGTATACAAGTATCATCAATGATCACTATTTTTGAGAAAGGCATTTACTAACAATTGTCATGCACTGTTGCTGATAATTGGATATATCCAACCTCTACTTTTGAAAGATGGAAATCAATGTGTTTCTTTATGTTCCCCAAACGGTTTTCTGTTGGGGTTCTATCTTAGAAGAAAAAGGAGCTGGCCACACTCACTGGCCGCGCCCCTGAACTCTCTGGCCAACCTCTGTGGCCGGGCTCTGTGGCCGGGTCTTGTCCTCCTGTTGTTCTCCAAACAGTTTACTGCTGGGGTTCCATCTTAGATAAAAATGGCTGGCCACACTGACTGGCCGCGCCCCTGAACTCTCTGGCCAACCTCTGTGGCCAGGCTCTGTGGCCGGGTCTTGTCCTCCTCTTGTCCTGCTGTTGTCCTCTGGCCGCGCTGACCAGCCCTGGCCACACTGACTGGCCGCGCCCCTGAGCTCTGTGGCCGAATCGGAGGCCCGCGAAAGAAGCGGGTTCGCGTAGGGGCCTGTCTCATACTGTTGATTGATAGGGCGCCCGAGAATGTGCCTGTGAGACGCATTGGACATTCTTACTGTAACCTGCTAACAGTTAGAATATGATTTATAGAGTTTTCAGTATTTAAGTGTATCCTCCAGATTCCGGCCAAAGTGGAACCAGGTATGACCACCATGCAGTTAGAATATACATATTCTATCTGCGGTTGTTGAACTGCTCCTGCCTTGCAGAATGGCTAGGTGTGAATGCTTCAGATGGTTGGAGGCCATCGCTAGTAGGTTGGCGGCCATGGCTAAATCGTGAAGTCAGTCTGATGCACCTAATGGTTGCTGAGTTGAAGTGACCATCGCGATATCTTACATAGCATCATTGCATCACCGTGGAAAAAAAAGGCAGTTTCAGAGTCCACGTGTGGTTCTTCTCTTCAGCTTTTGACGCTTCATCTATTTTATAAATATATGACACTTGGGATTCTCCAAAATGTTCTAAGTGCATTGAAAAATATAAACCGTATTCTAATTTCCGGCAGTTTACTGTAATTTTTAATGAACATGCTCAACAGCTAGAGAGGAGTGTGGCCGAACAAGGAAGATGCCGACGCCGACAAAGTCATTGATGAAGCAGTTTGGTGTTCGGGGGAAAGTACGGCGTACCAAGAAATCGTTTTTGACTAACATTGGTCCAAACGAATCGGCGTGAAACTGTTTGGGGTCTATGCTTGGATACTTCCATACTTTGTAAAACCTCATGAGGTTTGTAAAACCTCATGAGCTGGGGTCGTGGGGATTCTCAGGATTGGAGGATCGAGATTCCGTCAGAGATGGTTCCGAGAAGATTGGAGCGTCCTTGATGATGAGGAGGTTTGGAAATGTTTGGAACCTCCGTTGGATCGATCAATGCACACTGGTGACATGAAATGAGAACAATGACCAGTTCACATTAAGACCATCGTGATTGTTCATTGTTTGTGCATACTTATGCATATTCTATATAGTCAACTTAACTAAACGTTCGGAGAATTGAGAAAGACTGCGTAACAGAAATTTCATATTGTTTTTGTACGAGGGAGACCGGTCATGTGGACCCCTCAATGACTCAAAGAGAAGGCTTCATGTATTGCATGTGGGTTTGTTTTTGAAATTAATTAGGAATTTCCTGTATGTTTCTCCTGCTGCGTTTCGGTGGTTTGCGTCCATCGTGGCTTACTTTCCGGGCCTTTTTACATCCATCAAAATATTGAGGATATACCGATATACCTTCGTGTTGCGTTGGTTTGTTTTTTTTATGTTTCTGTGTTTTCCCACTGCATTGTTATGTTGTGTTTCCTTTTGATGTGTTTTTTTTCCTTATCATGTCCTTACCTTTTCTGCTTTGGAAGACCCGGAGAGGCCAGAGAAGGAACAAGACAACATACCACAAACTAGACTGTAATTCCAAATTGAAGTTCAAAACCCAAAGGATTCTAGGCTGAACAGATCGATCGCTGGGATATCCACCCATCTTTGAGTGTCCTTAAAGATCCTTTGTTCATCCCTACTCTATATTTGAACGTTTGCTCAAGAAACCGGAGAGCAATTACCACATGCTGAACCTGTAAGTTGGAGAATGCTGAGAGTGTCGATGGTTCAATGGCCAGGAGATCTTTTCGTCGACACTCCCCCGGGTGCAGCTGCTGATACTCGATTTCTGGCAAGAAGACAGTCACAAACTCTTCATTGCTTGTGCTGAGAATCGCTGTGATGAAGTCGAATTCTTACTTCAGAAGCTTGCTCAGGTCTCAAAAGAAAGGATTTGCCTTGTTTTGTTTTTTATTAAAGGGACATTCGAACAGAGTGGCCTTTATCTACTGGGGATTAGCTCGGAGTTTCCTTGGGACAGGGCCAGTTGTTGCTTGGCTGTTCTTGGCTTCCTGTTTGCTTCCTGTTTTGGAATGTCACTGAATAGCAAACTGTATCATCCCTGAAAGAGAAATCCTCCATACGAGCCACACAACATCAACTCGTCTTCGAGTTCATCCACCTGCAATCCTGCAGGAGCTGAGGGAAACAATACCCTCTTGTCAGTGGTGGTCCCGTGCAAGACATGAGCATGTTCGTTTCAACGAGGCTTCTTTGTTCCACCCCTAGGACTCAGAATGCTCAGTGGCATCCCACTTGACTTGACTGACATCCAAACCACCTTTCTTGATACGTTTTAGATCCTCTTTGTCCATATTTCATTGTCTCGGCCGGTCAGTAAGGAAGCCCATGTCTCCAGACCTTGCGGATGAAGCTGGACAGACAGCACTGCACATGACCGCAAGCGCTGGCCACTCACAATGCCTGAGCCTTCTGCTGGAAGCCAAAGCAGCCTTGGACCAAGCAGATCTCTTGGGCAGAACAGCGTTACATTTGGCCGCGAAATTCCGTGAGCCAGATGCTGTGCAGTTGCCCACTTGGCCATTACGTACATGTTTTACTTTTGGACACAGTTGGACCTTTTAAAGGCGTTTAGAGGCAGGGCAGTCATGAGATAAGGTTGCTGCTAGCAGCTGGAGCTGACCAAGACAGCGCTGCCAACGATGGGACCACGGCTTTGCATCTCGCAACTGAGAATGCGGACATCAAAATCGTACAGCTGTTGCTTGCAGCAGGGGCTGACAAAAATCGAGCCGCAAACAATGGGAATACAGCTTTGCATATAGCCGCAACTGTTGGTCTTCCGGAAGTTGTGCAGCTCTTGCTAGCCGCAGGGGCTGACGAGAACAAGGAAGGGATGTTCAGGACAAAGCCATTCTACTGGGCTGCCGCGAATGGCAACACCGCAGTCATGCAGCTGTTGCTCAAGAGCACCATTCACATGACCAGAGCTGAGGTGATGGAGGCTTTGGATGCCGCGGCGATGTTTGGACACCGCAAGGCAGTGCAACTCTTGCTGAATGCCTGCACTGGCCATTTGCGCTCGAAGGACATTCGCGCTGCCTTTCTGTCGGCGGTTCGGAATGGAAATCTGGAGATCATGGTGGCATTGCTGAAAGCATGGGAGCGACACCAGATAGCCAGGCACAGAAACGAAACCGCTGAAGTGGCAACTCGAAGCAGATGCAGTGGTAAAGGTATGACTACCTCCGCCATTACAATAGCAGCTCCCCACACATTCGGGGACTGGAAGTGTACCTGAAATCAAAGTAGAACAATGGGTTCCGATTCTCTTTTTTTGCAGCATGTTTTGCTATGAAGCCAAGCCATGCCAGTGAGCGGCAAGAGGCTGCTCAAAGCACATTTTGTCGCGAGCTGGGTCCTATGGACGAATTAAATCGGCAGCCTCATAGGGGTTCTTAATTACTCCCAATTACCATGTTCCACTTCGATGTACAAATGCGCCTGAACCATTGAACCATTCAAACGGCACAACGTGTCAGTCCGTTGGTCGAAACCTCTACGAGGCTGCTCAACTGGTGAAACAGACTTTCAACATCGGTCGCCGTTGCGATCTCCAAACTGCGAATCATCACCATCAGAGCCAAACCATGGCAAGCCATGTGCAAATGGATTTTGGCTAAGCCATATTTACATATTATCGTATATTTATCGTGTGTGTGTTTGGGTGTATGTTCAAAAGTTTTGGTGAGGAACATGCCACCTTTGGCCTTGGCAGGGTTTGAAAATGCTTGAACATGTTTGGCCTTGATGTGAGATCTGTTGAATTCGTCCAAACCGTTTGGACTTTTGACATTCACGTTCCACGGGTTTTGTGGTGTCGTGAGACGAAGTCCTTCGGAGGTGCCAACATACCTGCCACCCTTTCAGGGATGCTTGAACACGGCTACAGAGAATACAATATGACAACTCCACCCCATCCCAGCCATCGGTTCACCAGTGAATTGGTTTTCTAGATCTCCGAAGTACTTGTACAGGCATTTTTGTGCTGTAGTTTTGATGATTTTGTCCTGCTGCCTCCGTTTGAGTGAAGCAATCCAGGTCGACAGAATGATTGATGCCAAACATTGGAGAATCAACTACTTAGACGTACTTAGACTTAGACAGCGGATTTGATGGAGTCCTACCAGTGAAAATGGGTTGTGCATGGTTGTGTGTTTCTTGTGCCCACCAGACATCACCAGACATACTGCTTGCTTTGAAGAATCAGTTCTGTCGACACATAAGAGCCAGTAGAGTGGAGACCAGTTGCAGTGAAGAAGTAGCTGGACTCAAAAGAATGTCGCAAGGGTCCAGGGTGGTGCCAGGAACAGTGCACTCCTCAAGTTGTGGCATTTACATTTGGCGTCAGTGTCGAAGCAAGTCATATGAAGGATGTGATAGCACGTACTTCCAGGCGGGAGCTGAAACTGGCTTTGACCTTACGGGCAAGGCAGGGGTACTTACATTTGTTCCAAAACTGTGCAAGAGAGCTTGTGTGTGGGGGGGGTTACACGAACGCGAACGCGGTGCCAAAGTTGTTGACTTCAGAATGCCAAAGGAGCGCTGGTCTTTGCAATTGTGCTGCATGCGCAGTTGATGTATTAGACCAGCATGGAACTATTCGGAAAGTCACGGATGAAATGTTTGCTCGATCCCTCTTCACGCTTCCTAACCTTTTTGCATGATATTCTAGCTCCGCCAGGTCGCTTTGGTCACAGGCGCATCGCGAGGCATCGGCGCTGCGATTGCTGAGAGCTTGGCCAAGGCAAATCCAGCGTCCATCGATGCGTTCGACATCATTCGACCAATGACATCAGCCTTTCGAGTGATTTGGGATCCCAGCGCTTCGAGACCGACCATCCCTTGCTTCCCTGCAGGCTGGCGCAACAGTGGTTGGCACCGCTACTTCAGATTCTGGGGCAGAGGCACAACGGACACCCTGGAATGAAAAGTGGTGAGATTCGCCTGTAGCATACAGTTGGTCGGTCCTTTGTGTCAGGCCCTGCAAGCCAAGTTACAAGACGATATAAGAAATGGTTTTATAGTTGGCTTCTAAAGTGAAATTGACCTAATAATGCCTAATAAGGTTTGCTTGTAAGAAGCACCTCAGGAAGTTTCACAAAAAGCTGAATGAGCCAGGCGATCTCTGCCCGCATGGGCGATCAATGGGGGCAGGCCAGACAGTGTATTTGTTTGTGCAACATATTACGTATAATTTTGTGTATGTATATGTATGTATGTAATGTAATTCAATGCAATGCAATGTAATGTAATGGTATGTAATTGTATGTTTGTATGTATGTTTGTATGTATGTATGTGCAGACATGGTCGGTCGGTCATTGCAGAGACTCGATCATGACCAGCTTCAACAAACTTCTAGTAAAAATTATACGCATGTGGGTTTATGTTTGGCTAAAGTCTGGAAATGTTTAAAGCTGCCGTTATTGGTGCCGTCAGGTTCCCTTCGCTAGAAAGTCGGCAGTTCTTCACATGACATCTATTATTGCTTTATTTTTGCTTCTACAGGGCATGAAGCTCGATGTCACCGACTCCAAGAATGTGGAGGAAGTTGTGAAGGCAGGAAATTGGAAAGAACATAGAAACAACTATGAGGTAAGACAACTCGGACGTGTGGGTTGAAACAACAAGAAGACAGATGCGCGAAGCACTGCTGTGGGTTGGGTAGATAGACTGTATTTTGTTGTGTTTGATATTTTTTGCCCGCTCCTACTTAATGAAGTAATTAAGTAAGGAGGAATGGATGCAGGATAGCTCACTCTTCTTTAAGGAAGCTCCCCTGCCTGAGGGCGGGAGGGAGCATCCTTGAAGAAGCACTCGCACACTAATCACTACTGTAGATTCTTAACCAACTCACTGCGTGTTGATTTGATGTTCCTCGGCCCTTAGTTGCAAATGTGTTGTTCAGATCAAAGTATGTGAAGGAGAGACGTTGTGTGGCTTGGTGCTGGAGTTCTGATACGAGACGAAACACCTAGTCAGTTAGTCACGTGCTTTGCCGAACAAGGCGGTGACAGAGAAGTATGGGGCTCCAGATATTTTGGTGAACAATGCCGGAATCACCAAGGACCTGATGCAGACATTTGTAGACGGATTCCCTCCTTCGATCTTTTTCGAGTCTCCGCTTGCAATCTCAGTGTTGAATTCCAAACGTCAGTGCAGAGGCTTCCGAAGGTTCGTGCTAATTCTGCCGTGTTCTAAACATATCTAAACAGCGTTGGTCCATTGCCTTGCTGCTTGGTTTGGGCGCAGCATCCACCAGATGCCAAGCAAAATAGTTGAGCAATTGGCTCATTTTATGTGTGCCATGGTGGTTGCGCATTCGAACACACCGTAGAAATGGTTCTTCCAACAAAGGTTGGTGGCTGCAAGGGTTCCATAGGGGGTTGCTCCAAAGCACATAATTACAAATGAAAACGCGTTCATTTGCGTCGTATTCATTACCCCTAGAAGAGTGGCGCAGTTTTACTTTGTCAGGACACGCTGATGATGCGTGCCTTGTCACAAATGAGAGGCCAAGCATAGGTGAAATATATTGAAATATAGTGAAAATGGGACCACACCCAGCAAACACTCAGACAAGAATCTGGATGGTGCCAAAATTGCCGGCTATCAGCTGAGGCATGAAGGAAGATCAATGGCTGGATGTCAGTGCCTCACTTTCTCGCTCAGACAAGAATTGGATTGTTGTAGGGTCCAACAGTTCCAGTTCTTTGCAGTTCAGAGCCCTTTGTGACACTTGTGAACTGGCAAACTAACGATCTAGCGGCCAGAGCGGCAGCCACAGCGTTTGTCCCCTACCGGACTTGTCAAGGTTTTACATGTGGCTAAGTCTAGAATGCCTGCAGACGCCCAGGTCATCAACACCAACCTGAACTCAGTCTTCCGCATGACGAAAGCTGCAACAAAGGCTTGCCTTTGCCTGAAGCAAAAGAGTCTCATCATCCGAAACCCTTGCACTTCTTTGCAGTTTGCAGTGTGGATCAATTTGTTATTTGGTAGGGCATGACCAAGAAGCGTTGGGGCCGAGTCATCAGCATTTCGCCAAAAGCTCAGTTCCAATGTTAATGTATTTAGTTGGTAGGTGCACAAGGGGGCAGAAGATCTTGTCGCCCACTCTACATATCAAGGGGATGTTGCAAAGCTAACAGATAAGTTTGGATCAAGTTTTAGGAAGATTCCCTGATGTCGTGACATTGCAAGACACATCATGGTTCATTGAAAGAGAATCATTAATTTGATTGTATACAATTGAAAAGTATATGAGAGAGACAAGGACTTGAGGTCAACGACTAACAAATCCCAACAACTCACAAAACCCAACACATTGGATGTGGAATGAATGGCTTTTTGCAAGGTCTGTGGTCGGATCCATGGGCAATGTGGGCCAGTCCAACTATGCTGCAGCCAAGGCAGCAAGTGCTAGTTCAGACTCCAACTATTTGATGATAGCTGCAAGCATTTGAAGTTAACATAACTTAACGTAACATGGAGGTTGCAGGTGTGCTCATATGAGATCAAAAGGCTTTTGCAACCACTCGATGAATGTTGATGGTTTTCACCTTCGTCATGATGCCATTTGGGTCCTTTGGACTGTCTGGTTTTTCCTTTGCAGTCGCCTTGCTGTTGGGATGCTTTGGCACAACTCCTGCCAAACCATCAGGCTGGCATGGACGGCTGGACCCGTGCAATGGCAAGGGAAATCGGCAGTCGAGGGAAACTCGGCACAAGCAAATTGGCAATTGTTGAATGGCGCTTTGGACATGTACAAAAGGTGATTGACCTTTTGATCTCTCTCTCCCTCTCTCTCTCTCTCTCTCGCCCGCCACAAGGATTACCGTGAACTCAGTAGCTCCAGGATTCATTGACACTGCCTGAAACTCAGGAGGTTGGGTTTGGTTCATCAGAGAAGGTTTGGAGTGGCAGTTGGTGTGAATTGCTTTGTGCTGCAAAGAGTGCAAACGGTCAGCCAAGCAGGAATGTTGCCAAGAAATGTGCTTGGCCTGCTGCTTCAGTGCATTGCTTGACTGAGGACATGACAGCAGACCTTCCTGATGACTGGAAGGACAGAAAAGTTCAATGAAATTGATTTCATTGATGGTTCCTCACTTGCATTGTGTAGAGTCGATAGAATGTGATGGTTGCTTCTTTATTTTCTTGTTGAGGGTGGCTTGGTTGAGGCCATGTGTCCCTCCATGCCGCGTCGGCTAAGATTTAGGAGAAGGCCTCCGCAACTTGCAAAGCAAAGTTTCTAGCTTCAAGGTATCCAACAAACTGTTGGTCTCTTGGGGCACCTGCCTCAACAAACTCTGAAAGACTTGCCTTGCATAAGTACACTGTCGGAAGGAGAAGCTCTTGGAGAATGTGCCTGTTGGGGTGCCCACGTAATCGCTTTGCAGTCAGCACTGGTGTTACATATGCTGCTGCATTCGATTGATTTGACGAGTTGGGCTTGAACACGCCGCGAGTGCAAAGGCTTTCCAAAACAAGCTTTGTGCTGTTTTAGCAAGAACAATAGCGGCATAACGAAAAAACAAAACATTATGGAATTGCAGCTTTTGGACCCAAGCTAGTAGGTTGGAGGCCATCGCTACAAGGTTGGAGGCCATCGCTACTAGGTTGGAGGCCATCGCTACAAGGTTGGAGGCCATCGCTACTAGGCTGGAG